TCTTCTTCTTCTTGAAACTTGAAATTAGAAAATTATAGCTTTTAAATAAATAACGGTCAATTAACTGTCTTTCAATGACAAAACATCTAGTATTTCCTTTCTCATTTTGCTCATTGAAAAATTAAGGCGATAATATCTTTATTATGTTTTCTTTGAATCATAGTTTGAGCATGATTTTTCTGTTGCCTATACATATTGCGTAAGGGTTTTGTTTCTAGCATCTCAATTCTCAAAGATAATTAACAATCTTTCTTAAATATCTTCAGTATTTTATTTGATTTTAAAACCATGGATTAGTAATATCATTAAGTGTTGAATTTAGCATAGCATAGCTAGTAATAAGAGTTATGGTCCCATTTTTTCCGGAAATAGGATGGAAGTTTTACTGTGACAGGAGTAACAACTAAACAAGTAACAACCACCAATTAAACACATACTTTTGGTTTTGTGCAAAAACTTCTCGTTGAAGCAAACAAATTCGGTAATGCAAGCGGCTACAAACACCCAACAGTTCAACACAACTGACATGAAGTGCACTTTGAGAGTGAGAGTGGGACAGAGAATAGAATATGCTGGCATAGTGGGGGGAACTTCAAATTTTGGACATAGATCACATGGTTATTGCCGCAAAGTTATTCCCAAAGATGGGTTAGGCCGACCCTGACTAGATTTTTATATATTCTCTTATATACATTTTCCCATTGGCATTCTCGCGCAAAATTACTTGCAAATCTTTGGAAACTGATTTACAATAGATGGTACAACTATCTGAGTTCGATCCCAACTTGGTAATCTAGTCTGCTGCACAATTAGTCTATTGAAATATGTAATTCATATGGAAGGGTTTCAATGAGACAGCCAAGTGTGTAATACATTTAACCAGCGACATTGTTCTCCATGTGGGCGCACTACGAACTGTAATGCAGTCCACTGCTGGATGACCTGGACCTTCCTAACGTTTAGTGAATAAGCTAGTTTGAGCCTAGTTTTAATATCCTCTAATTCAATGTAGGCAATAGAAGGTCCAACAGATCTTTTGCTAAACATGTACAAAGGATCACCATCCTTCATTTCCAGCCAAGCTGCCATCTGTTTTTAGCATAGAGTGGTCCCCCTTAGGGGCTTCCCATTTGCAAGTAACTACATGTCTAAAGATTGTTATACTGGCAGGTATTTTTGTAATCAGTTATCTGGTAAAAGCATCGTCAGACACTGAAACTTGCTTGC